CCGGGGGCTCTGTGCTGCGGGGCCCTGTGCCTGCCGCTGACAGGCTCGAATACACCCTAGGCCGAGCTTGAGTACACACGTGCAATCATCCTAGCGGCACCCGAGCGCAGCCGCGGTTATACCTGTGCCTGACCGATTCCCAGGAAATAGAGAGAAACGTTAGCTCAGTGGCCTACTCCTATTGCGAGTGAGATTGCTTGGCTGCTCATGGAATTTATGTAAGGAGGAATTTATGTGGAAATCGAGAATTATGCCAAACCAGATACCTGTTTTATACTTTGAGGGACTGTCTGTTATGGGGCTATGGTTAGTGCATTTTGCAGCACGGCTCTTTTTAAAATGTTTTTAATGTTATTCCTTAGAAGTGCGGTAGTTTGGTTTAAAAGTAGTTATTTTGAGAAAATGAGGAAACTCATTATTTTTCATTAGGTTCCGTAAGAACAGAATATCTTTGACTGTTACTTAACAAATGAACTCAGTAAATTTATCTTTTCAAAGTTTACAAAGGGAAGTTTTCATCCAGAATAATTTTACTTTTTATCAAATTACTCAACTCTGCCTATAGTGCAACAGTCTATTTATTTTGCAAAAAAAGGAAGGGTATAAAGAAGATGGATTAGTTTCTGAAATCTATACAATGTTGGTATGTTATTTCCTTCTTTTTTTAAGATCAATATCTGAGTCTGGAATGCACAGGGAAGCAAAAATAGAGACAAGTACATTAGAAATCATTAAATTTAAGAAAAGGAAGGGGATAATTGTTAAATAAAAAGCCTGACTTGTAGCACAATATCTCCTACTTGTATGCCCACAAAATGAGTATTTGGCTTCACTTACTCAAAAAGCAGTAGTTAAAATAGATGACTGTGTTATAACCACATTACATAATCACTGGGTAGAGCATCCATAGCTAAATTGGTCTTTTTTTTTTTTTTTTTTTCCCCCAGGAAAGTAAAGTGCTAATAAATGTATAAATTTTGTTCATTTTATGGCCTTTTTTTTCTAGATTTTATTTAATTTCACCTTCAGGTTTTTAATAGAAACCAAATGAATTTAGACTGGGACTGAAATTTTGCCTCAACAAAGAATTCCATTGACACAGAATTTAACCTTTCTCATCACGCCGTTTGGTAGAAGGGAGCAGCTCCCCAACATGCCTGTTGAGAGGGATGTACATATCTGTATGTGTGTGTGAACATACATGTATAAATGACACAAAATGAAGATAACATATTTAAAATATACCTAAAGAAAATTTTGGAATTTGGGGTTATTTTTAACCACTATAACTGAAAGTTTGTGCTTTGTGCTTCAGCCTCATTGGTTGATAGAGCCCAGGTGCAAATAAAATCATCCCCGTCAGGAGCTATAATTTTCTGTTACTTTGCACTACAACAGAGAAGGGTCCAGCTGCATTTTCTCTCTTATGTCTGCCCATTTTCTCCTTTTTCTTCAGTCTCAACTGCTAAATAAACACCAGGAAAAGGTGAAACTAACAATTACAAAAYGATTTTTAGACAGCAAAAGAGAGCTTACCACGCAACAGTTGCTTCGCATACCAGACCAAATGCTTAAAAACCAGGCAGAAGGGATGTTAAATGACTAACACAAGGTGGCTTTTACTCTTGCTGCTTCCCCTTACRGTTACTGTCCCACCCTCAGTTCAGCAGCTTGTGCTGACAGACCTCGAACCCTGTGAGCAGGGCYGTGACAAACCTGAGTGCTGCTCAGGGGAGCAGTGGAAAGTCACTCGCATTTGCTCGCTCAGCTCCTTGGCTTTGTGCATTTTGTGATTTCATGCCCGCTCCATTTCCGGCACCGCTTCACAACGACTTGTCATCCAGTGACACATTCACCCTGACAGCCAAAGYGGTGCTTGTTGAGGGGTTTGTCCCTCTGTGCCGGGTCGTTCAGCTCGTCACCACTCGGATATTTAGGGTTGTCCTGGGCTTCTGTGCTGAGGGCTTCCACCTTGCGCCTTGGAATATTTGGGGACAGTTTGTTAGTGAGAAATGATGTGCCTTTACTGTGTTACCCAGTTGAAATCTCCGATTTAATTCTTCATTTATGAGAGAGCAGAGAGTGCCTTTGTGTGAGAGGCTGGTACCCAAACCGTGTTTTTTTTGAGGTAGTTATTTTTATGAGTGTCTTGCTGCTCCGGTACGTCGCAGAGTTCTCAGCGTGCTCGTAGGTGCAGGCAGCTGCCGGCGCCGTTGCGAGTGCCTGAGGACGTAGCAGGGCCGGCGCCGCCGAGGCCTCGGCCGAGCTGCTGCAGCTCGGCAGGAGCGCGCCGGGCAGCTCGGCTCTCCCCTTACGTGCGCCACGTTTCGGAGCCTTGCGGRCCGCCCCGAGCAGCTCCCCGGCCTTGGCGAGGCCCGGCTGCCCCGGGACGCGGCCCCTCTCCTCGTGGCGGCCGCCAGAGGTTGCTGCGGGCGGCCGCCGCAGCTGGGGAACGTGWGGACGGGGACGCTAAGCTCAGCGACAGGCCTCGTTGCGGTCCCGCTCCCCGGGGCTGAGCTGAGGGCCAGCCCTGGCCTCCTGGGTGAGCGTGGTGCGTTGCATGCAGGCAAACCTCCCTGGCGTCGTGCGCCCCTGTGCAGCTGCACGGACACAAACTGCATCTGTGCTTCTAGCCACGGGAGGGACCTTCTTGCACCAACAGTTATGTTTCCTAGTGAGCTTTTGGACAGGGCTTGAAGGAAAATTCGCTCCCTTAAAAAAAGTTTAGAGATTTTCCTTCGAAATTTTTAAAAATCAAGTCCTGCTTTGAATTATGTGTTACTCGTGTTTATATTTCTGATCGACTCAATAAACATTAGGGGAAAATGGATTTGTAATTATATACACCTAACAAATCTTAAATGGTTCAATATGTTTTAGAAATGAGAGAGTGAAATCAAGAAGGAAGCTTAAAGCTATGGAAAAAAATCACTGGAATGAATATGCTCATATTAAAAGGACGAATGTTGCAAGTTGTGTGGTGTATTTGTAATAATATAGTATTGCACTTATTATTTCAGTCTTTGCTTAAAATATGCAGTGGCAAACATGCGCAGGATTTTCTGSTGCATTGTATCAAGCACTGTCATTGTTTGCTAAGAGCTACTAGATACTTTAAGAACTTTAGATGCTTAAATAACTTTTAAAATTAAATGTCTGTTTCTATAAGCCTGTAAATCTGCTCTTACATGAGTTAAAATTATGCTTTTGTGTTTAGGACTTGCATGTTCAGACATTCATGCTAAGTGGATTTCTATTTTCAGAAAGCAGTAGGAAATGCGCTCTCTGCCTAAGCACAGTTTCCACATAGTCCTTCACGAGARCTAAAGCTATGACTTTTCTAAGCACTACCAACTGTGAATAAGTTACTATGTGGGTAAAAAACAAGCAGGATTGTATGTAAAGAATTTAKCAGCAGCCTGTCAAGGCTATGGTACTGCTCTGAGTGAAGATACAAGTAGTTTATGATGATCAATTCAAAGAATTGCTCATAAAACTTTTAAATGTCACCTCATCATRTACTGTGTAAGTGCCAGAAAGAAAAAGGGAAAAATATTTAAAGCATATTTTGTCCRAGAAGTTAAATGGAAAGAGTTCAGTTGGAGCTTTAGAAAACTGAGAAATGAGAAGCAATTTTACTGTAAGTAAAATTTTACCACTGACTGAATCACTGTTAGATCCTTTTGGGATTTAGAAGCTAGAGCTAGATTGCACTAGGAAAAAAAATACTCCCTTCTTCATATTATGCTTTCCTACCCATACTGCAGGACTGCAAAACAGTAAGTCTGTTGACATTCAGTATATAAAGAGCGTCACAGGAGAAGTAATGTCCATCTGAAGCTTCAGAACATGTGGTTTTTGAAGATGGAAAATCTATAGAAAGGTGTTACGAAAAGAAAAACTTTTCTCATTCTATATGGATATAACTATGAGATTTGGAAGATTGGAGCTATTCTTTAGATAGATAGCTATTTATAGGAAGGTAGCTGTTAATTGTAGTTTGGGAATTGGACTGGAGCTCAGTAGGAGCATCTTCTTCAAGGGCAAGGTGGCTTGTTTGCAACTTAAAAAACTTGAAAATTGAGGCTCCACATCACTGCAGTAGTGAGAGGGAGGGACACATACTGGGTTAGAGGATGAATTGATATGCAACAGCGTTGTGTGAAGTAAATGAAAGTCAAAAGTCCTCCTCTTAGAAAACTGCAGGGCAAGAATCCTTATAAATCGTTTTTGGTAGAATATAATACTGAGGTTCAATTGGCTAATATATATTTTCAGGATAACTATTATCCTGGAGAGTATAATGAAGAGGGGCAGATTTAGAATTGTATCCTCAAGTGCTGTTTGGGTAGCTGTGCTCATCTGGTAATATTTTGGAGGAATCATTTGTCCATACGTTTCAGGATCCTCCTGTACTTCTTGCACTCTTGCCCTTCCTACTTCAAATTTGATCAGTAAATTATTGGTAACCTCAATCAGTGATTAAGTAGCTTTTACCTCTTTTCCTGGCTTACATTCAGTATATGGTTTAATTAGCTTATCTTTTGATACTATTTTCTTTATTTATTTTTATAAATTAGCTCCTGTCTAATTCAGTTTAGAAATTTTCCTTTGAAAAACAAAATGGAGATACCCATGCGAAAAAGGCTGTTTTGTCACTAGGACTTCCCAAAATCTCAGTCCCATCCTCGGTGGAAAGAAGTCCCAACTCTAGAGCTGCCAAGTTAGTGTTCTAAAGAGGTGGTGAACACTTCATKCTGCATCTCTCAAAACAGCATTAGATGTTGCCAGAAAAATTTCTGTCAATATGTRACAGTGGTTTCAGTGCATCATCAGGGATAATGTTCCCAATATTTYATCTCTTTATTTCAGATTCAGTATGATTTATTTCTAAATAGCCTAAAATGAAGGAGAGAAAGATCAAAGTGTGGACACCTAACATTATGTGTGTACGTAATGCATTTTTAATTCATGTTTAATTTTATTTCCCTTCCTCCCAGGAAATCCACGTTGCTTTTCTGAAATGGCTCGAGCAGAATGTAGATGCTGARGGATTAATAGCATCCAGCAAAGTGTCTCTTAAATTTGTTTCTTCTGATGAAACAAAAATGGAGGTAACCCCGTCTCTCATGCCAGTCATCACGCAGATGGGAAGCTTCTCATCAGAACATTTCAGCCTGAAGACGTATCAACAGAACCTGCAGACAAAAAAGCTTGGAAAGATCCTTCTGTTCACTGAAGTTACCACCACAACAATGAATCTTCTAGATGGGTAAGATACTGATGTAGACCATCGCAAATAAGGTTTCTGAGTTGGATTTCAGATTGCAGTAACACACAGTGGTCAAAAGGAAAAAAGGGAGCCTTTCTTTTTTTTTTTTTATTTTCTCCTTAGGCTTATGTTTATTGCCTTCAGGCCATTCAAACTCATATACTTTTGTGATATACTGAGTACTTCACAAAAAAGTTCTCTGTTTTTTAGATGAGCATTCTTAATAAACTGTGAGATAACCTTTGAGAAAGTAGTTCATCCAAGTTCAGTTTAAATATGACAATCACAATCCCTAAATTTTAGAATGGAATTTATGTACAAAGCCTTTACTGTTACGTTTCAAAAATTGGAACAGTTTGATGGAAAAACTTGTCTTCTTTGGGAAGTCGATCCTCAGGACATGTTTTTCTATATGTGCTTGTACTTGCTGCTATTATTCCTGACACCCACTTTTTGAATATCAGTGAGTACATTCATTTGCAGAAGTCATAGTTCTTCTGTTGAATTTTACTGTTGCAAATAACCTCAGTTGTTCTGTTTTTTTTTTTTTTTAATCAAATAATCTTAGATATTATAATTGATGAGCTGACTGGCTATGAAAGTTTAAATTTTCAGCTGTAGGGCGTAAATTGCAAGGCTGATATCAATTACAGAGTATTTCTTCTTGCAAGTAGTGGAGCTCCTTGATATTTTGTAGCCTGACTGTCAACACTTTTACTAAATGCCATCTGAAATTAAGCACTTACAGTTTTGTAGATAGAAATTAGCAAATAATAACTTTTGCTAAAATATTGTAATTTAGACAGAGAATCAATTATCCTTAAAAAAAAAAAAAGAAAGACTCTAGGTTTGAGTGTGTGTCAATACTTGCACACAGAAATAATTGTTACTATCTGATTTCTGTCACTTCCCTCCACTCAGATTTACACCCCAGCAGCTGCCTTTATTAGGACCTTTGGACATAGGCAGAGATACTAGTTCAGTAAGAATCCAAAGAGAAAATGGCTGTTTTATTGGTGGGATTTGTAGTATTTGTTCCTTGATTTTTAGTATTTACAGCGTTTCCTACCCCTGGGGTTGAAATCAGACTTACTATTGTGTAGCAACTGAAGAAGTGGGGTTTCAGTGTAGCCTGTGCAGGCTCTCCAGGCTATGGTGGTGTTCTCAGTAGCACCAGATCAACACAGCTCAGTAAGGTGAAGCACCTCGTGCATTCAGGCCTGGGTGGCCCTTTAGATGTGCCAAGCTGAACAGAATCAAGTCTGCCGGTTCATCTGTGATTTTGTGCTAATGAAASGTAAGGGAGTGAAAGGAAAGTTCCTGATTTTTCAGGGATCATGGAACCTTTCTCCCTCTAAGGTGATGTTCCAGCAGGCCATTCAGCACCCAAGCTGCTTTCTTACATAGGTCATCCAAATGTAAGGAAGTGTTTACAGATCCACATCTTCAAGATTTTCCACATCATGAAGCAAGTTGAGTGGTCAGTTTTTAGCTATGATGTAAAGCAGAAGTCCTATCTTTAAGCAGCTTCTTACCGGGAGGATAGTCCTAGCCAGATTGGAATTTCAGCAATTAAATGGAGCTTACTGAAAACCTTTTGTTTTAATTAATCAGGGTCATTGTGGTAAGTATTACGATTGATGATATTGTAAATATATCATTGTTGTGACTAATAAAATAATTTCATCCGTGTGTGCATGTGATTTCAACTCAGCAAAGCACCTGGAGGCTTCGCAGAGGGTAACAATTCACAAATCGCTAGAGACAGTTGCAAAAATTTATTGGATTATTTTTGTTGCACCGTTTTTAACATACGTGCAATAGCAGGAGAAGGAAGGCTTCCTTCCGCGCAGAAGGTAATTAATTCCCTTGTAATGTCAGGAGAAGAGAGGACAGGTCCATCGGAGCAAGCAAGCATTGCACGACAGAGCCCTCAGCCTAAGTGAGGTCTGTGGTGAGCAAGGCCCCGGGCCTGGCGCGGCCCTCCCTGCACCCCTGCCCCACAGCAGCAGCCCCCGCGCCCCTGCCCCACAGCGGCCGTGCCGCACCACCCTGAAGCTGGGGCGCTGCCCCTGCACCCTCGCGCCGCCGCGGGACCCCCCAAAACCCGCGCGCGGGCCGGGGCCACGGGGCTGGAACTAATTTAATGGCTGAGTGACCTCACGGGGAGAAACAGCCGGAGCCTAATGGGGGCTTTGTCTGCCTTCCCACCCGCGCTGGTACCGTGCCAGTCAAAAGTCAAGCAGGAGAAACAGGTGGGAACTATTAGGCCTGTCATAAAGTTTGAAAAATTGATTCTGGAGCCCAAGTGAATAGATTGGACTTGACAGTGTTGTCCTAAAGATTCGGCGGGGCAATTCTGCCGTTCSCCTCGGCAGCCCCCCGGTTGGCGGCGGTCAGCGCCAGATGGCGCGCGGCGGAGCGGAGCGGCGCGCGCGGCGCCGATGCCTCCCAAATCAAAGGGCTTTGGCCGAATGGCTAAACAAAGGTTTGCTTAAGTGTCACCTCCTTTGAAGAGCTGCTCTCCTTCCTGTGATTTCGCCCCGAAAGCTTTCTTGAACCATTGGAGAGTGTATGTAAAAGTAGTCCTGGTTTTATTTCTTCAATTAAAAGTCAAAATGTGTAGCAAAGATGAGAATCCCCTGTTTGTTTGTTTGTTTRTTTGTTTTCTTAAAAGGAATTTTTTTCTGCAAGTCATGTTTCAGAAGAAACTTATTCCACTGTGGCCGGAACAGACTAGCCCGTCCCCAAGCCGTTCCACTAGCACCATCTCCTTGTAGTTAAGAGGAAACCGTTATTATTAGGGATGCAGCAAGTGCAGCAGGACAGAGCAGCACTCCAGGCATGCGCCTCTGAGGCTCATGGCTCTTGAGAAGGATAAATATTTCTAGCACTCATTTAACTGGCTTGAATTCTTTACTGCCSCCAATTTCCTGTTTTAGTGTTCTATCTGGCAGGAGATTTGATTTGTACATGATTAAGGCAGCATGTGATTATGCTGAACATGCCATGCCGCTGTGGATAGCTTGATCCTGGTATTTGGGAAAAAGCACCAAGGTGTGGAGGGGATGCCGTTGTTAGGAGGAGTTTGGTGCAGGAATGGTGGACAGCTGTGGAAGTGACATGCAGGAGAACGTTGCTTTCCTAATTGCTGAGTAGGATATTTAAATAAAATGACAGTATAGAATAAATACTTTCCAAATGGTTAAAGGCTTTGAAAACGAAGTGCACTCTTTGCATTGTTGCTACCCTTTTAGTTTGCTTGTGCTTTTCCTTGTTCATATTGTTTGAAATCCTTTAAGTTGGACTAATTTGGAAAAGTTCTAATTTTGAAAAGTGGACATTAGTGCTCCCTTTTTCTCCATGTAAACTATGTAGGTTTTAAAAACAAATTAAAATCAGATAAGGGGAAGGGAGAGGAGCAACCTGAAGGTGAATGTGGCAAAATGCATCATATAGTCTCTGTGCTTGTACTGCGTTTGATCAGCAGAGGTGTGGGTTTAAAGCCCAACCGTTCCCTTATGACTGGGACTGCAGGTAAATTGTTGGTGTGATAACTGCCCAGCTCCATGGACCTTTTTTTTTACAGATACAAAACCAGTTTATGACTGTTTTAGTTGGCTGCGTCGTAATTTGGGCTTCCTTGGCTGGGTGGAGGAAGGAGCTTTCCTTGGTAGTGGACGGACAAGTGCTGTTACTGACCTCGCATTTTCCTCCTCAGGAGGATGTTGGGGCTGTTGGATTATAAAGGCTTCAGGGAACGGTCCATGTTTTTTTGGCCTGATTAGAGTATCTGAGTACATTAATTGTCTTGTATAAATAAATGTCGTGTCACCAAGGTGAACAGTTCAGAAAACACATGCTGCCACTTAACGACAAAAAAATTATATCCTAGCTCAGGTTGGCTTTTAAATTTAACTACAACAAATTTCCTTTCATTACAGATCTATAAAGTTATTTTAACATAAAGTCTGTCAGTGGCATCTGTTTCAGAGTTGTGCTCAGTGCTAAAGTAGGTCGGTGCTGTTTCACTCGTGTCCTTAAAGGTGGGTTCTCAGTGGCTGTGCGATTATGGATAATGCCCCATTCTGCTGCTTTATGGCTTCAAGTCCAAGTCATTTATAACTTTTGTAAAAGTAATGCTCCCTTCCCTCTCCCCAAATACWTGTGAGACAGCAGGAAAATTCTGGTGGTCAGGAAGGATGCCTTTCTCTCAGGAAATACACTTTGCTGTTGGATGTAAAGAAAAATGTGTGCTGATAAATTCATCAGCTACATTTAAATGCTGTATGCAGAAATATCTTTCCTGCAGATACAGAACTAAAAGCTGTTTTCTCGTTTTGGATAACTTGTCCTTCCTTCTGCAGAAAGCTTTTGTTAGAGAGCCTAGTGCTTTTTAAGCAACAAAGTGAAGTTTCTTATTTTTATTTGTTTATTTCAGCTCTACTGGGGGACAGAAATGCTCTGCTTAGTGAATGTCTGCCTTAAAACCTAAAATTAGATAGTMGTGGCAGTAGACTTGCACTTTACAAACCTGTAAACTTTTAACCTACATCACTGCCATTTAATTATCCGTGATAAATTTCCTTGCTCTTTAGATCATGACTGTTTTGGGTTACTAACATTTAAATTTCCCGATATTACTTACAGGTTTGAAGTTGCAGCAGCGTTTTCTCTTGGGGGGGAAAAAAAGTTAGTGCTGATGGAATAACTGCCCCTATGCTCATGTTCCTCGAGGATTTTCTATTTTCAATAGCAATTTTGTGCCTTCCTGTGGTGATAAAGATTATCTCAAATAACAGAATATGTTAGTTTCCCTTAAATCAAGTTAATTTAACAGTAACTTTTGCTAATTTAGTCTTACATGTATAATATTTCATACTTTATTCTTCCACTCCCTGACCGCTGCTCTTTTGCATGACCCGGTRTTAGGGCAAGCTGTCCTTCATCCTGATAACAAAAGATCGTGCAAGAATTTTTGTAATGCAGCCAAGAGCCTG